ATATACAGTGTTCTCTGTGGCTCGCGTAGTCTTCTCTCGGATGCGCGCTTCAATCTATCGGCGTTGTGGAGACTCCGGTGAAATCACAAAATAAAATGCACACAAACGTGATGAATATATTCGGTTTAGATGAGAGAGAGAGAAAAAACTATACGAGTGCGGTTTAGAACCCGTAACCTCTGACACGCTTGGCAAAAGATCTACAGAACTCAAACATAAGATCTGCGGATCGATGCATTTATTTACGGGTTGAGCAGAGTGGCTGCACAGTTTGACCAGCGGGCGGCAAGAACTTGCAATAACTATTTATCAGAACGGCCCTCGCAGCCTCGAAACCATAGAAACACTACCGGACCACCGGTAAAAGTCCCGACTTACCCGATTGCCACTCCGCCCCTGCACGCCATTAAAAAATATAGCCTATGAATCGATTTTTGGAATTCTATGAATCGATTCTGAATCGGTAAAGATTGAATCGCGATTCAAATGTGAATCGATTTTTTTGCACACCCCTAATCTTTATGTCCGGTTTCGCTTTGTAAAGGCTGATATAGAGTACCTTGTGAACCTTCTCAGGCCAAAACTTCAACACAGAACCCAAAGGAGTCACGGTCTGTCTGTGGAAGACCAGATCCTCATTGCTGTCACGATTATGCATGTGGGACTTTCTTGGTTGTCAAGGTAAGACACATAAAGAAATTTTTGAACAAATAGGCTGTTCCCAGAGTGCTGTATCAAGGCACTTCAGTGGGAAGTCTGTGGGAAGGAAAAAGTGTGGCAAAAAAACGCTGCACAATGAGAAGAGGTAACCGGACCCTGAGGAAGATTGTGGAGAAGGACCGATTCCAGACCTTGGTGGACCTGCGGAAGCAGTGGCCTGAGTCTGGAGTAGAAACATCCAGAGCCACCGTGCACAGGCGTGTGTAGTAAATGGGTTACAGGTGCCGCATTCCCCAGGTCAAGCCACTTTTAAACCAAAAACAGCGGGAGAAGCGCCTGACCTGGGCTACAGAGAAGCAGCACTGGACTGTTGCTCAGTGGTTGCATGTCATTCGGAAATCAAGGTGCCAGAGTCTGGAGGAAGACTGGGGAGAAGGAAATGCCAAAATGCCTGAAGTCCAGTGTCAAGTACCCACAGTCACCTGCTGGTGTTGGTCTACTATGTTTTATCAAGGGCAGGGTCAATGCTGCTAGCTATCCGGAGATTTTGGAGCACTTCATGCTTCCATCTGCTGAAAAGCTTTATGGAGATGAAGATGCACGACCTGGCACCTGCTCACAGTGCCAAAACCACTGGTAAATGGTTTACTGACCATGGTATTACTGTGTTCAATTGGCCTGCCAACTCTCTTGACCTGAACCCCATAGAGAATCAGTGGGATATTGTGAAGAGAAAGTTGAGAGACGCAAGTCCCAATACTCTGGATGAGCTTAAGGCCGCTATCGAAGCATCTTGAGCCTCCATAACACCTCAGCAGTGCCACAGGCTGATTGCCTCAATGCCATGCCGCATTGAAGCAGTCATTTCTGAAAAAGGATTTCCGACCAAGTATTGAGTGCATAACCGAACATAAGTCAATTTGAAGGTTGACCTTTTTTTGTATTAAAAACACATCTTTTATTGGTCAGATGAAATATTCTAATTTTTTGAGATAGGAATTTTGGGTTTTCATGAGCTGTATGCCAAAATCATCAGTACTAAAACAATAAAAGACCTGAAATATTTCAGTTGGTGTGCAATGAATCTAAAATACATGAAAGCTTAATTTTTATCATTACATTAAGGAATATAATGAACTTTATCACAATATGCAAATTTTTTGAGAAGGACCTGTATATCAATTATATATCAATTTTATGAGGCCAAACTCTTTCTACTTTGCTGTAGGCCTATACTGAAGGCTGAATACGTTAAAGCCCATCTAATCACTGTAGCCTGACAGATGAACAAATAAAATTGAAATCTTATGAATAAATAGGATATTTTGTAAGATACTGCATGATCCAAAATAATGTTTTATTAACAAAGTTCGGGAGGAGAACGTTCAGATAATTAAACCTAATTGGTCCATGTATATTTTGGTCATTTGATTTCCTGTTTGGAATGGAATAATGAGAAATGAAAACCAGCTTGTTAATTCGTTTCTTTGTTTAGTTTAAAAAACGAAAAATTTGATTTTGGCTTGATTCTTCATTTGTGGTTTACAAATCGGTTTATGGATTTGATATTTCATTTGCGTGCGTGGGTGGCGCTGAAACGTCCCTTTCATCTGATTGGTCAAACCGCTCTGCCTTCAGTATGAGCTTTTCCAGTGTTGTATAAAGTAGAAGTAGAAGTAGAAAAAAAGTAGAAGTCCTGCCATGTGTTTATTCCAGCCATGAACTGATTGACAGTTGATTAGGGCTGATTTCTGTCTCCTGGCTGAAAAACTGCTAATAAGCAAATCCAGGTGATTGGAACAAAATACTGAGGCGGACTTTTACTTTCTGAACCTGGACTTTACTCTTCTGAAGAGAATAGAAAAAGAGATGACACAGATGAAATCACCTGAAGAGAAGACATTAAATCTGAAGATCTCAGCAGAGGAGGATTAAACAACTCCACAAACAGCATTACCAGCTTCACTTATTACTAACCAGACTGACTTTATTTCTGTTAGACTTCTACAGAAGATTTTATTGAGAATTAACAGAGGTTTACTCTGTGTTTCATTTGAAGTCACCATACCATCAGAATCTCTGAAGGAGAAAATCGTAATTGGTTACCATTATAGAGATCAGTGTAGAGATCAGAGATCAGTCTTTAGTTGGGCTCTTGAGCTTTACATTAACTTTAGGATTTGTTCAGCTGTTGTATCTGAGTTAAAACAGTCAGATGAACAAAAAAAACAACATACTAACTAATAGTTTTGGTTATATTGAGACAATCGTCATTTGAATTTATTATTTGTGATTTATTTTGTTGGTTACAGCATAACTGAGATTCTGCATAAATATCCAGAATTTATAATGTAAAGGATTTCTTAAAAGTTGTAAAAAAAAAAAAAAAAATCTTTAGTTAAGGCACTCACAGACCTCAAGATTCAGTCAATGCTTCTCAACGACGGTGACGAGCAGAATATTCAATTAGGAAAAGTAATTTACATAGACAATTCAGATCATAATTTATTCATACCGCAATGCATGATGGGAGCCATTAATGAGTTGTGATTGGTGGCAACAAGGATTATGTGGTCACCACGGTTGAGATTCACAGGCTGATTATTGATGTCTGTGTTTCTAAATAAATGCATTTGAAAGTGATTTGATCAGAATAATTTATATTAAATATTTTGGAATATCAGAAAAATATTGATAATCATATTCTTTATAACCACTAAAATGTTGCTATCAAGTTAAACCAAATTATATGAAAAGTTTCATTTTACAGATCACAGCATGATTATGCCAAAACAACCTATACTGTCATATCACCGTTGTCTTTGTTCATTTGACTGTTATAAATAAATAACAGCGGTCAAACAAAGTTTAAAGTCAAAGTAAAAGTGTCAAGAGCCCAACTAAAGCAAACACTGATCTCCATAACGGTGACTTACAATTTGTGATTTTCTCCTTCAGTGATTCTGCTTGTGATCATCAGGTGTCTTCAATAATGCTCAATCATCACTAAATTAATCACTTAACTATCTCATTAACTTTAACACTCTTGAGTGTTAATTTAACACTCATATCGCCCATCTGAAAGCAGGTGAAGGTGATTTACTACTAATCAAGGAACCGGCTTCACTGATTAGACGCGCATTACAATATTGTGCTATACATCGCCCAGCCCTAGTCACAGGTTTTGTTTTTTGAAAATAATTTGTCAAAATAATTATTATATTCAAATACCACAGTGAATCAGGCTTTTCCATGATGATTATAAAACCATCACCAGGTAATCTTCATCACCTGATTCCGTTGAACTTTTGTTACTGTAAATGTGTTTGACAAACACACTGTCACAGCAGACAGAAGAGATCATATATATTATAAGAGTAAAGAGCCTGGCTAATGGAAACACTAATCACTGTTATGGTGACTTCAAATGAAACTGAGTTAAACCTCTGTTAATTCTCAATAAAATCTTCTGTAGAAGTCTGACAGAAATAAAGTCAGTCTGGTTAGTAATAAGTGAAGCTGGTAATGCTGTTTGTGGAGTTGTTTAATCCTCCTCTGCGGAGATCTTCAGAGATTTAAAGGAGTAGTAGTAGCAGTAAAAAACGAAAAGAAATTAAGGTTTTGTTTTAAATGACATCGTCTGGTGTTGTTTAAAGCCCTTTAAAGCTGCACTGAAACTCACTTTTGGACCTTGAACCGTTTGGTTCCCATTGAAGTCCATTATATGGAGAAAAATCCTGGAATGTTTTCATCAAAAACCTTAATTTCTTTTCGACTGTAGAAAGAAAGACATGGACATCTTGGATGACATGGGGGTGAGTAAATTATCAGCAAAAGTTTTTTTAAAGTGAACTACTTCTTTTATCTTCAGTTGATTTCATCTAAGACTGTGGATGTAGTCAGGTGTAGTTTTTGTGTTTTTTAAATATGAAAATCACACACAAACCATGAGCCATCTTATTCGTGCACAGTGAAATGTACAGGACAGCATCATGCAGGATTATGGTCACGTTGACTCATGTACGATGATTGACAGATGTAGAGATCAAATGAACATTCGACGAGTCATAAACTGATGCAAATTAGGAAGAGGAGAGACAGAGCTCCCTCTTTCAGCTCTTCAGATCGCATAATTCAGTGGGAAATAAATGACAGAAGGGTATTCTATATGACAAAATATTTTTCAAACGTGGTAATAAATCAATATTTCTCCAAATATGCACACTTTTAAACTGAGAGCCCTAACGGACGATGTCTGCATGTGTGTGAACACAAATAAACCACAGTACACGTGAGTGAATTCATATGAGTATTGATATTCTATTAAAAAAATGATACAGTACAGATTGATTATTTTGCAATCCTGTCATGAATTAAGAAATGAATCTTCGCCTATAAGGGGTCAAAAACAAGCATAAGTTTTAGCATAATAGGCCGACCTGAAATGTAGGACTGACACCATAAAATATACATGATGGAGAATATGCTAAAACACATTCACAAAAGAATGAAAGGCTTTAACAATAATACTTAATGTTGACTAAGCAATCTTACACACACATGCACACATTTGTGTTTTAGATATGGATATAATGGGTAACAAAATGTTTACTGCAAGTGTCCTCTATAAAACACAATTTTCAGGTTTCGCATTACTCCTAATGCACAATTGTCAAAACTAATGTTTCAATAGATATGAAGTGAGGGATTTTGATAAAATATGATTATAAATGTTATAATAGTGATTTTATAATGTCTAAATATCAATTGTAGAATCACATTAGACTGATGAGTGAGTTAAAAAGACTAGTATAAGCTTGCTTTCATTGAAATGTGTCTGTTTTAAAAGTGTCAGTTTGTCTCCTCTAAAGCAAGGCAAATTTTCCATGTTAACTCCATTAAACATGCTTACACACACACACACACACACACAATTTGTTGTAGATACAGATATTTGAAATAATTAAAATAAATGCTTATTTCAGGACTCATTTAAAACATAATTTTCAAGTGTCTTTGTGATCATAATGTGATATTGCAAAATATGATGCGTAAAATTAACAATTGAAGATGTGAATTTTGGCAAAGTCATTTGTAATGTTAATTTAATGATTTAATAAAGATTAAATATGATTTCAAATGCAAAACCCTTGGAAATGATGTATGGCCGTTAAGACCAGACTTCGTCGAGGTGCTGAATTAATGATCCTGTGCTTGATTTTACTGTCTTCCTCCATATCCTCTCCTTTTATGTCCCAGACAATGTAGTTATTTGTATTCTCTCCGTAATTATTCAAAGTATGTAGGCTATATGTTTTATTAAAAAACTAAAAACATGAGAAAACCAATGGACAGATACTACTTTTATCCTATAATTCTGATTTGCTGACTGAAAATAAAGAATTTAAACAAAACAAAAAGAAAACACATTGAAAATAATTATTTTACACAGCTGAATGAGTTTGTTTAGTAAATTTGTATTTTAGATATATATTTTAACAAAACACTTAACAAAACATTAGTTCCCATTAATATAGGGGCATATGTTAATGATTCTTCCTGATTTCCATCTTAAATCATACACTGAATGTTCAGTATTATTTGAGTCACATTCTGCAAAGCTCCTGTTCTCTTAAGGGAAACAGTAGGAAACCACTGAAAGTGCTGTGGTTATTGTCGCTATCAAATATCCTTGTGTTAGGCCAAAGTCTCACATAAACAACATCTCCAACCTCCAGGATCAACACAACTCCATTAGAGGAGTTTAACTCCCTCTGAGGCTGACCAGCATATGCCAAAACCACACGCTCTCCATTCTTAAAAATGGATGCAGCTGCTGCTGTTGGGCCATGACCATATACAGAGATTCTGAACATGTACGCTCCTTTCAGCGGGGCTGTGAAAACACCTAAATCAAATAACAAGAGAAACAGAATCAGATGTTTATTGTATGATCGCTTAATTATCAAACACACTGTGTGATAGTTTCGAAAGATGAGAGATGATTTCAGGCTACGCTTACACGACAACAATATCCTGAAAACAAACAAGTTTTTTCTTCTTTGTTTTTCGATCCCCGTTCACACAGATCAGAGGAAAAGCTTTAAAGAGCTGTATTCTGCTGCCAGGCCAGTAGTTGGCGATGTCACTTTGTAAAGAAACACTCCGGATATAGTAGTATAGACTATAGATTGATCATGTAGTACGAATGCGCATGACATCACCATTTTCACATATTCACGTTTTTGTAGTTTACTCGAACAAAATAAAGGTATTCTTTCCAAAAACTTGCAATTTGAAAGCCCCCCTTTTTTAAGTTTATTTTTTCAGGTCGCCAAAATGAATACAAAGTTTTCAGTTTTTTGTTGAAACCGGTGTCGTTTTTCCTGGCTCAAAACGAGACAGAGGTGGTAAAATCCTGATCATGTATTTTATTAATAAGATAATTAAATGAGTATTTTTCATAGACCATCATATAGCCTACTGTGTTTCACACAGTATATTTGTGGGTGGAGCTCGGTACCTCCAGTGGGGTCCGTGGTCATCCCCCCACCAGGAAGAACATTTTGTACATTTTTAAGATAAATTCATTAATCTGGTGCACTTTGAGTCTGGTTACTAATCTGAACCCGCTGTTAAAAATAAATAATTCAACCTCCCAAACCATCTGTATCTCATCACATTACAATTATACAAATTCTCAGTGTTAAGCATAATAATAAGGTAACATATCACACTGAAGTAGGCTGATTTAAAAATAACATTTATTAAAATAAAATTTCCTTAATATCCTAAACAGAGGTTTTACTCCCTTCAAACCTAAAATGTCAATATTTCATTACATCACTATTGGAAAACACTCTTATCAGAATAATTTTTTATTTTACCTTTATAAAGGGCATTTTTTTTAACCTAATTTGATTAAATGTATGTTTCATCTCATTTTGTATGTTTCATAATGTATGTTTCATTTCAAATTCTTAAATTTGATCAGTACGAGTGTTTTAATATGTATGACAGCATTACAACTCCTTCCAGCTCTGACCCTATTACACCTTCATTGGATCTCTGTAATTCATTCCTAAAATTCTTTGTTGAGAGGATTTCTGCCCTTCGATCATCTGTAACCACATTCTGCGACTACTGTTTGATCCCTCTGTTCCTCCTATTTCCCTTGCGGTATTAGATCAGTTTGAGCCTATATCAATCTCCTCCTTATCCGATGTGGTCCACATGGGGGTTGGAACAACATGAGGGTGAGTAAATACTGACAGAATTTTATTTTTGGGTGAACTAACCCTTTAAAAACAAGTGTGAACAAAAAACAACTGTCCCCGACTAGTGTTAATGTCGAGCCTTGATATGTAAACCTTGATTGGTTTTCCCTGAAGAGAATTATGTTGTTCAAAACGAAAGTAAAACAGTGACGCACATTCATTGCATTTTACCGTGATGAGAGTTCCATATCTTTATCAAACATTATACTTATTTTTCTGTCATCACCATCGATTACTTCAAATGTTATGTTCTTATTACTTTGCCGCCCGACCCGCGGATTATGATGCACGCAGCACTATCGCCAAACTATTGGTTTGAGAATGGACACAGGCCGGAAACCCGCAACAGAACCGCCACAGTGGAAAAAGTGTATCTGAGCATGTGACTGTCCGAGTTTTGTCAAAAGCCAGAGGCGGCATGAAATTTGATGCCTAATTTGGCCCCTAATTCTCTTAAACACATTACAAAACTGCAGAGAGGTCTGAATGGAGCAGAAGGGTTTTCATTACTATTAACTGAGTTCCCTTTTGAAGGGAACTCAACAATACGTAGAATGACGCTATGGGGAACGCCTCAGGCGTGACAGGTGTCTGAAATCAAATATCAACTCACAGTAAGCAGGTTGACTGACGGCAGCCCGTGCATCATCAGCTTGAATGATGAGCGCGTCAATCTGGATGTATAAGAAGGGCGCAGAAGGGCGCCTTGAAACCATGACATCTTTTCGTCTTCAGGGACTGTTTGTCTGTTTGATAGTATCAACAAGTGATACAAGTGTGCCGACCTGTGTCCAGATGTTTGACACCGGAGGATTCACATGATCTGTGCGTGTTCTGCCTGGGAGAAGAGCACGCGCGGGAAGCTCTCGAGGGAGTTTTCTGCGCGAACTGTGAGAGTTTCCTATCAGAACTCTCTGCTCTCGTCAGTCCCAATTCTCGAGGGAAGTGGACGCGGCATCTGAACCCCGCGGTTCCGGTTCCCGCTCGGGCTGAGGCTCAGTGGCGGTTGAGCTCGTGGAGCTTTCAGATGGAGCTGGCAGATTATCTGGAGAGGGGCGTTAACCTCGCGGATGATCTACCAGCTGACGAGGGTGAGTTACAGATTAATGTTGAAGCTCTTTTCTTTCTCTCTCTGAAAAAAAATTAATTAATTAAAAAAAATTGTAACTGTTCTCTTTGGACCAGGCAGGAGTTGGCTGCTGAGGATGTCAGTTTGGTTGAGACCGGACCATCTCAGCCCTCCTGACCAGTGTATGCTGAGCTGGTTGACATTATGGGGCGCGCCACAGACAGATTGCAGTTGCAGTGGAGGCGCGTCCGGGAGGAACCCGCTCATGGTATTTTGGATGACCGGTTCCTCCCCACCTGTAAACCACCAGCCCGGATGAACCTTCCATTCCTTTCCGATCTCCACGCTGGGATCGAGAGGGTATGGAAGAACCCGTTCTCCTCACGTCTCTATCTGCATCAGCAGGCTAGTTTTGCTGCTGTGGAGGAGACAGGATCTCAGGTCCTGGTTATGAGCTCCCACATACTGTGGTCGCCAGGTTACAGGCCTTACCAGGCCTTCCTGGTTACGAGCTTACACATACTGTGGTCGCCAGGTTACAGGCCTCATCAGGCCTTCCTGGTTATGAGCTCCCACACATTGTGGTCGTCAGGTTACAGGCCTCAAACGGGCCTTCTTGGTTATGAGCTCACACATTCTGTGGTCGCCAGGTTAAAGGCCTCACCAGGCCTTCCTGGTTCCTGAATGGCTATGCACACTCACTTTTTGTGTTTGCATTGTCCATATTTGTGGAAGGGGTTTGCGCTGTACACTTCGCTCCCCTTTTTATGTGGTTCAGACTCCGGTTCTTCACTTTGGGTCCCACTCTAGATGTGTCTTTTGTCACAATATATTACGACAGGCACTTCCCTTGTTCAAGCTATCTCCCACAACTGGTGGTTTTAGGTCTCATTAGACCTTTTTCGAGGTAGCCCCACGTTGTGGGTCTGTCAGGTTATTGGCCTCTGGCCTTCCTGAAGGATGAGCTTCCACATGCTGTGGTCGTTGGGTTTCAAGCCGCACAATGTACGGCCTTCCTGACATGAGCCCTCATGTTTCGGAGCTCCCCACACAGGGGGTCATCAGGTCTTAGGTCTCATTGACCTTCCTGTTTTTGATCCCTCTCGTACTTCCTCAGTGCTCAACAGCGAGCACTGGGTGGAAACTCGTGGATTGAGTGTACGATTCCCGTTGTTTTGAGGTTGAGTCACACTCTCCGGAGGATCCCGTCTCTGTGATCCGAAACTCAATGGTTTCTGCCAGCTTCGCAGGCCTTCAGTTTTTGGATGCCTTTCCTAGGCAATTTCCAGAGGCTCTGTCTCGGACGGACAGGCTATGGCCAGACTGTGTGTCTTAGTACACAACATGACATCATGACTTTTGCGTAAACATATACGCCACTTTCGCGCCAGGTGGCGTGTTATCTCTACGCATTTTGAGCTATCCGCGTGTATCCGCGTGTATGCGTATATGTCTACGCCATTAACGTCTGCGTCATTCCGCGTGTCTGTACACGCAGTCAAATCTCCAGTCATAAATGCCATTAACCCCAGTGACGGTTAAGTTTAGGGATGGGGTTGAGGTAAGTCATATATTTTTCTTTCTTATGATGGTAAGGGAACAGTCATAAATGCCATTAACCCCAGTGACGGTTAGGTTTAGGGACGGGGTTGAGGTAAGTCATATATTTATATAACGTTAAGTCAACGGCGTTCATAAACACGCTGAAAGGCGATTATGCGTCTTGACAGCACGCCAAAAATGGAAATACGAATTGGCGTGTGTACACACGCTATTTCATGAGATCAGTCTGTAGTACAGATCACCAGGCCAGCCTGGGGGCATTTCCGGAGGAGTGTTCTCCCGAATAGTGACTGGCTGGGGGTCCCTTTGGCCCCCTAGCCACACTCCCTAGAAGGGACCCCTTCTATTTGGAACTTGTGGTCCTAAAGCCTTTGAGCTGGCCCAGATTTACCCACGTTTATTAAGTTTTTGGTTTTTCTTGGTTTATTAGCTTGGGCTATGACCAGTAGGGAGTGCTGTCACTGACAGCCCGATGTGACGTAGAGTGGTTTCAGTGTTCCTTGGAATTACTGGTTCTGACAGTTGTCACTGCCTTTTCGGCATGCACTCCCCTCAGCATGGCGGAGTGGGTAGTTTGTTCCCCATAGCAACATTCGACGTATTGTTGAGTTCCCTTCGAAAGGGAACGTCTCAGGTTACGACTGTAACCTATGTTCCCTGAGAACAGGGAACGAGACAATCTGTCTCGTTGCCATGCCTCGGGGCCTGCCTGCAACAGTCCCTTCAGACGATAGGATGTTGTCACGATTTCAAGGCGCCCTTCTTATACATCCAGATTGACGCGCTCATCATTCAAGCTGATGATGCACGGGCTGTCGCCAGTCAACCTGCTTACTGTGAGTTGATATTTGATTTCAGACACCTGTCACGTCTGAGGCGTTCCCCATAGCGTCATTCAACGTATTGTCTCGTTCCCTGTTCTCAGGGAACATAGGTTACAGTCATAACCTGAGACGTTTTATGACTCATTTCATTGATCATTACCTGTATTTGGGTTGTAGGCGTTCCCTATGTTTGTGAAGACTTTCCTGTAGGTTAGTGTGATTTCATTGGTAAAAGGACCAATATATCCACTGCCAGATTGCATCAGTGAAGCTGAAAAAGCTATTTCTTTTTCTGTTGTTGAAAAACATAAGCAATATTGTGAGTACAATTGTGATATTACTTTCTTTTTGAGAATACACTGAATATCATTCAAGCACACTTTCACCTATATTTTCCTTTCTCAACCCCTCCACTTGACTCAGAGTAAGATTTGACATTTCTGTGAAGGAATTAAAGTTTTGTTAAATGATATTCAGACTGATTATTGTAATAGATGCACAATATACACAACTTTATGCTAAAGCTTACAATATGCATCGTAATGCATTGATGTTTTACTTGGAGGATCAATGATAAAATAGAGAATGTTTTAGTGAGGTACCAGCATTTTTCTTGTTCATCTCTTCCAGGATAACATCATTTTTCTTGTTTATCTCTTCCAGGATAAACGTCTGTTGTTCCTTCAGTTGCGTCTCTAAAGCTCTGATGTTGATTTTCTGCTCTGTAACTGTAGCGGTCAGTTCTCTCAGCGCTGCATGGATGTCAGTGAAGCACAGATGGTAGTTTTGTCGGCTGTCAGTTGAAGCTTCATCTCTCAAAGTGTCTGTTTGAGGTGGATTCTGTCCTCCGTCCTCAGATCTGAGCTGTTGACTGATCTCATTATCATTGAGTCCTCCATCTACCTGATGCTGTACGACACACACAAAGGTTTCCAACAGCAGCAGTAAACACACTAAACCCTTCATTCTTCACTGATGTTTGTTTCCAGCTCTTGCTTTTCATCCTCACAGCCTCTCATGTTCCTTTTATAGTGTCCTGATTTACTCTCATTTGTACAACATGTATATTGCTCCAGAAAAAATAAGTTAATAAGTTAACTGGTAATCATAAACATCATAAATGGATGTTCAGGGTTCAGTAGATGTTAATCTCTATTCACAAAATTTGTTGGTCTCAACAGAAAATAACTTTGACTTGTCTCTGTTTATATATATATATATATATATATATATATATATATATATATATATATTTCTTTAATCAGTGGAGGGACTTCTTTCTACCTCAGACTTCAGAGGTGCCCTCTGGCATTTAAAATCAAATCATACAACATATTCCATACCAGATGGGGGCACCATACCTCCAGAAATACCTCCATGGCCACGCGCACTCTCATGTCTTCAAACAACATGGGCGAGCGCTGTGTTGCTCTGTCTCCCTCGTGCATATTAATCAAATCAATTGACACGATAGTAAAAGGTTGGAAGACCGCAGTTTCATGTGGAGCATTTGAAGATTTTTACAGATTAGAGACTAAATGAACAACATCTCAATACTAAATTATAAAGGCCGTCTCATAGACAAGTCGGTGCATTTCGATGATATGGGAAAATTAAAGCCCAGGCTATTATTTCTAGTTTTATGGTATTCGTTTTGTTCATATTATATTTTTATCATTAGTTTTAATTAATTTGACAGACAGCATTCCCTGATATGGACCAAGCTAGCGTCTTTCAGAGCTGCCAACTCTCACAACACTTTTCACATACTCTTATGCCACACATCAATTTTGTCATGCACAGAAAAGGACACGGAGACCGATGTCTGCTCTCAGATTCTGTTCATTTTATTAAGCAATTCAAACAATAAATATAGTATTGGCGCTTTACACGACAGATCCCTAGCGCACGTGAACCGATCAGCTCTACTAGCTAATAGTAAAAGAACACGAACACTGTTGAAAGATACAGTATGCTACAACTTACCAAAATGTATTCCTCATGCATAATATCGACCAATCATTTTTTTAACTATTCCCTGAACTGAAATGTAGTAGTGGGCTGTATTTTCCACACGACTGACATCAGGTTCAAGTACACACAAGCCGCCGACTTACTCGTCTATTGCAGTTTGGCTGGTGGTAATGTTGCCTGCCTGCATAACGCCTCCCATGGCCGAAACTGGTATTACGACACCTGCCGGCCCGGGGCTAGTAATTTAGCATGCTAATTCAGGTTAATATCTCGGCAGCACTATAACTTGTCATTTTTTTAATGACATCATCAACCTTATTTCTTCTCATTCTTTTGATGCGTGTAGCTCATTTTTGGGATATTTTAACCTCAATTTTTACAGATGGCACCTTTAAGGGATAATACACAGAAATGAACACCTCCGGTCTTTTGAATGGATTGTCAGATCTGCATGATAACACAGGTTAAATTCTCACACTTTAATAGTATTTATAGCAGCATAACAGGCTGTGTGACTTTGAGGAATGATTACCTCAAAAAGTACATCCATATGTAAGCTTGAGTGACTTTATTTAAATTAAATACATTAGCTATTGTCACCGCCCAGTGATTATCCCGACCTCTGATATTGTTGCTGATAATGACTCTCTGCTATCCATGTGCATATCTTACAAAAGTTACCAGGTTTACCAGCTTAATGTAATGACAAAATTGTACAGATTGGATGTTTATTTACACAGAACATCTTACTGATGGAGTTTAACTTGTGTTGAATCTACAAATTACTTAAAATGGCATTTTCCCCTGTGGGAGAAATTGTATCTTTAAGATGTTTGTTACCATCATACAGTATGACAGTAAAACAGCAATCACAATCCTTATTCTAATATAGACCCCTTTTCAGTTGGTAAACACGGTGACGTTTTTATGTGGGCTGAGCTTAGGTGGAGGCAGAACGATCCCTCTGGCCGCTTCACTAACACTAGTTTGCAAGTTTTATTAGCTTGTTTCTTTAACAATGACTGGAGAAAATCAGATTTTATCTTAATGTGTAAGGTCACTGACTGTCCAGGACTGCGATTGTTATTTTCAAAAGTTAATTTTAACGGACAGAACCAGATTGGCCGACCCGTAGCCTTCACACGCTCACTCAATGCATGGATGGACGATCTGAAAGGATTAACATTACGTTACCTTGGTTGAGTAGCCTGACTTCTACACCTACCTACTAGAGAAACCGATCGTAAAGAGAAACTGCGGGCATATAAATCTTTAGATGCCTAGTATATGTGACCCGCTCTAGCAAAATGAGTCGGAAGTCGCAACGTTCCATTTTAAGATATGGGCCGATTATGTGGAAAAACAATGAAATAACAAAAAAACATTTTTTTTTTTTTTGCTAATTTCAAAGAACAGATATTCAAAAATAATCTCCCAAAGTTTCGTAATCCAGATAATTGAGTAAAGGTATTTAAATGACGATTAAAGTTGTCAAAGCTTTAAATTCGCTGAAATAAACATTGCTCTTCTCAGCTCCCCTCGTCAGCTCTGAGCATTTCCCGGGTATCCTATCCGCTGAAACGTTGAACTCAAAGTGTTGAACTCACTGGAGGCTTCTAACCTGCTTTGTGAGTATATTTATCTGCAAGAAGAATACATGTAAGGCTGTAACGATCGCGACACTCAGATCCAATAACCTGTGTCGCGGTGTGAGAAGACAGAATCACGACACGTCCCTTCAAATCCCGGAGTTATCCTTCACGTCCAGTCCAGACCCAATGCTACCACATCTTTAAATTACTATTAGTATTATTTGAAGTTAACGTTATAAAATATGTAGACCTACACCACAAAAGTAGTTAAATTATTACTAAATTGTTTAAAATTGGGCAATTTCAGCGTTATGGAGGAGATCCATAATTCCCAGATAATTAAATCTTTTAATAAATAGGCCTATGTGAACCACACTGCACAAACCAAAAGTAATACCCACCGGATGAAGAAGGGTCGACTCTCCCCAGAACATAAAATCTTTTATTTTATTTTCCGTGTTCGCATTTATGAGGAAAAAACAATGATACGGACATGACCGTTCTCTGGAAGCAGCACTAAAACTTTCACAGAGCCTAAACAGAAAGCAAGCACAAAGTCTTTCTTTAAAGTGAATTTCGTTTGGAAATAATTTTATCTTAATTTAAATCAATGTTTCATCAATCAATTACCAGGATTTAATAAGAAATAAATTGCAGACAAAGGATAGGCTAGGCCTAATCACGACAGGGAGGCGGCAGCACGTGAACTGAAGCTCGTCTCATGAACCGAAAGTCAGCGTATATAAGGTATCCTGGCCTCACAGACTTGAGAAATACTGTATATATATTGAAATGTCTACTTTTAAACAAAACCATTCAAAACGAAAGAAAAGAGACTGCTCTCTGCTTATTTGGGCTAATCCGTATGAAAAGTGAATTTCTCTCTGGCTCCTCTGTTCAATCTTTCTGATTTTAGAATATTTTTGTAAAAGTGCCTTTTTAATTATTTATTCCAAAAAACTTAAATAATTTCAGCTTCAGCCTGGTTAAATCACATTTATATATATATATATATATATATATATAGGTCCCACTTTATATTAAGTGGCTTTAAGTACTATGTACTTACATAGAAGTTACTACTTTGATACATTGGACGTATTGTGTACATACATGTTTTTACATTGTACTTATATTTTGAAAATACCTGCATGTAATTACAACTGTAATTAATTGATGTAATTACATTTGTAATTACACAGTTTACCCTTCCCTTACACCTTAACCCAGCCTGATACCTACCCATACCACCACACCTGTCCCTAACCTTACCCATATCACACCTCAATAGCAGCAAAAGTGTTTTACAATACAACCTGAACACAATAAGTACATTGTACTTATTTTCCTATGTAAGTACACAGTACTTAAAGCCACTTAATATAAAGTGGGACCTATATATATATATATATATATTTTATTTAGTGATATAATTTAGTTTTTAATGACATAAGGTATATATATATATATATATATATTTATATATATGTTAATGTATTTGGTCAGATTAAGCTATAAAATAAATAGTTTATCTTTTAAAATGCAATGGATTTTCAAAGATAAACAAAAAAAAAAACGGGCAAAAAAACTTTAAAAGCGGTTTTCTCAGGTTTTCAATTGGAAAAAAAAGGGCAGACGACCAGAATTCAAATGTGTATATCTTTACAACCATTCAAGGTATGACTTTGACTAAGATATCATTTGAAAGCTTATGGCGTGGTCTTTCCATTAATACCAAAATCTCAATTTTTAAATTTGGGTCACTGTGACTCATTTTGCTGGATCAGGTCATATATGGTCCTGTACAAGACTTGCGTGTACGATCCGCAGTTCTGCCTAGCCAGCACAGAGAATACGACAATGTAAACAGTGACATTACGGTGCAATTTTAATGATTTTAATATTTTCTAGAAATAAAAATTCCAGTTACAGCATATTCATTTTTCGATTCTTGCACCAAACAACACAACAAGATAAGATTTAATAATAATAAAATTTAAGCTCCTTATTATATAGACCATTTCACAAGATGTAAATAACACTGGTCCAGAAGCACTTCCTGTTTCAGTTTTTTAACACTACATAAAAGCTGGGATAAAATACAACCGACAGAACATTTAAAACTTAATCAAAAAGTTAAACAAACAATTAATATTTTAATATGTTTTCTTTGCATGTGAAATAAAGAAAAGAGTTACAAACTGAAACAGGAAGTGTTTTTGGACCAGTGTTGTTTACATTTTGTGAAATGGTCTATAGCCGAATCTGTGCTGGTTTGCATTGGCCACCTCCAGTTTTCACTTTGTTTTGCCTCCAGCTAGCGCCGTGACGTAACTGTGACATGGCAAAAGGGGTCTATAGAATTGTATTGGAATGGTAAAGAGTATTGGTAAATGACAGGAGGGCCTCCACTCAAGGACACAATATGATACAGACATGATATGA